TTACCCGTTGGTGCAAAGCAGGCAGTATAGAATGAAAAATAAGGACGTGTTTCTAGTTCAGAATTTATATCATAATTTTTATAAAAAAAAGTTGTAGTGTAGTATTTTATATCAAGTCACTCTGATAGAGCTCATATTTAGAAATGCAAGCGCTGAAATGGATTAAATGTATGTAATATCCAGTTTAATCAGCTTTATAAATTGTGTGTTACATAACTTAGTTGCAAGGTTTCAAAACAAAAGTTGATTATTCTAATTGATGGATTCATTGAATTTGAAAACTAAGACTGATATTGTTATCAATATTATTATTATAAGCATAGTAGAGAACTGATGCGATTCGCTAAGTGTTGTAACTTTTAAAATGCAAGCCAAAAACTTCACCACAATAAATTTTCATTGTAATATAATTAATAAATATGCATAAAATGAATAAAAATTCAGTTTTAGATTTACACCAAAACATACAAAGAAATGGTCAAATGAATGAAGTCAAAAAAAGGTAATACAAATATATATTTCGAATTATTTAAGTATCAAAAATTAGGCTAAAACAGAGTAAACTTGCTTACTTACCAGTGAAAATGAAACACAAACATCAACTACAAAATCAAATTCGAAATACAGTGATCACTAAGAAGTCAATGAATTTAAGTTAGCTTTTTTAGCCAAGCGTTTCACTGATTTCTAAAAATCTCATTTTGAATTCATTTAAAAATTGTATAATTTTTAAAGTATTACATCAAATGGTATTGTTGGTATCACTTTTCGAAAGTGATTTTTATTTACGGAAATATAAGCTTTTTCAGTTTCAACTGAACAAACTTTCCACATCAAATTTTATTAACAATCAAAAAGTTAAAAATTAGAACTGAAGAAAGCTTTAAAAAAAGAAAATCACATAAAAGCGCCGGTAATAAATATAGAAAAGTGGTAAGTTGACAGATTGACCCATGACCTGTCTCTGATTTTTTTTAAATACCTCAATACTGCATGGGAAATTTGTAAGAGCTAAATTTGCAAATATTATTACTTGTATAAATTGATGAGTCAAAATGTCTAAAAAAATTCAGATTGATGCTCGACTTATGCACAGAAATAAAGCTATAACCAAAGTTTGTTGGTTTGAGCAGTTTAAGTCTACAAAGTGCTTGCAACCTTTCTTGTTTAGTCTTTATGAGAGAATGCTTTAATTGCTTGACCCTTCCGTAAAATTAACATTTTAGCGTATTAATCAAAGGTTAAATGTTTAAATAACTACTGAAGTAAAATTTTTTCTCACTGATTTCAAGTTAAATTTGTTATAATTTAACACGTTAGTATAATAAAAGTCTGTATTATACTCAGAAAATTCAGCAGAGTGAATAATTCGCAAAATTAAATACAGACAAAATGGAAGGAAATAGAAAAATAAGCGTGAAATGAAGAAGTTTTAAAAAATAGGAAAAAATAATTTCTTTTAGACATACAAAAATTGTGAGCCTTAACAAAGACTAAGAAGCATTTCTGCTTGTAAATAACAAAAAACGAAAAAAGCCCTCAAATTTTTTCATGAAATTTGTAAAAGTGTTAACAGTAGCATACCAAAGAAATCAGTTACAGAAAACATCAAAAATTACTGATTCCTTCCCAATGAAATTTGCGTTTCTTTTATCGAAATTTTAGAGAGATCCAAAAAAAGTTTTATAAATGTGTTTGATCAAATTACCGTAAAATGCGATGAACAAATGATCCCCAAATATGATTGAGCAGATTAACTTAAGAATGCAATTTGTATGATCTATCCTTACAGCTTCTGTAGCATATCATTGCTAAATTAACATCGGTAATTAATTATCTACCTGAATTTTTTCTTTGAAAAGAATATAGCATACTTAAACTGCTCTAACAGTTAACCATAACAAGCTCAAGTATTAACTGTAAAAAGTCTCTTGAAATGATGAATAAATATGGCAAGTTAATGGAATTGAATTGTAAATGCAAAGTCTTAACGGACTGAATGGACCAAATGAACATTTGCAATATTATACAGATCGGTAGATATGATCAAGGTTCCAAGAGTAGGAATAAAGACATTTGCCATCAAAAAGTAGATTTTATCGAAAAATCCATTATAAATGACGATACTGAACATCAAGTTTGAATTATTCCAGTAACTGATTACGATAAGTTCGTATGCTTTTGTTTTGAGACCTAAAAGTAACAGTTTGTTCATATTTATCTTCCAAAAGTATGATGGATGTTTAGATCAAAAGTCTGACCAGTTTTGAGCATGAACTGGAAATATGATTTGAATAACTTGAGTTATTGTATCATCTTTATATGTGCACTTTAAATGAGTATAAATTTGCAATTTGGAAGAGACAAATTCTGCTTGATTTCAATGAGCAAGTGATTCTTTGGGTTGAGAAAGAAGGACAAATAATAGTGGTAACTTTTGATAGAATTAGTTATTTGCAGAGAGATGGAGATGGAATGATAATTTCGGAATATATATGACTGGCACATGTTGATTCAAGCAAATTGGGTCAAATATAATCGTGAACAGAAAAAGTGGATTACATCTATTCAAATCTACATCTGTACAGACTTTTTTTAGATTCAAAACTTTCAATTTTCGTTTTTGATTAATGATTTTTATCAGTTTAGTTTTCTGCAATATTCTGATACCGTTGAGCTGATTAAACATCAAAAATTTAATAATTTTCACCAAGTAAAAAACTACTTGCAATATATTTTATATTGATGTAACCATTTCACCGAAGCCAAATGAATGATGAGAAATTTTCGAATTGTGGGATAAATAATCTGTTAAAAATAGATACAAAAATTTTGTAATTTGGGAGTAGGGCAAATTATGCTTTTTTCATAATTTTAAGATTGAAAATTGCGCAAATTTTTTTAATGAAGAAATTAAAATGAATAAACCACGGAATGGCGAGAAATCGAAAAATGCAGAAGCAACGTACCTGAGGAATAAAATCGGTCATTCCCATGATTTCTTTTAAGATCACAAGTCGTTGAAACACAGTACAAATATCAGTATCGTCGACAACATTTGTTCTGTTAGCAAAAGTGGTAATAATGATAAAAATAACAATAATGATAATAGTTGAAAATAATGGCATGTAATTATAATTATATTCAATTAATGAAATAATACATTCGCGTCACATGGACTGCATGTGCTGTAAGGGTAAAGTCATATGGCCATCCATGGTACCGTTTAACGCGGCATACTGTAATCTTGGATCTTGCGGCATGTACATATTCATTGTTGCGGTGGCAGCTGCCGCCACAGCAGAATTTGACGTTGACGTAGAAGTAGATGAAGAATCTTTATGAGGATCATAAAAGGCACGGAAATGAGATGTTAATGGTGAGCCAGTTGCTGCGATAGATGCCGTGGCTACAGAATCTGGTGATTCGTCATTACTTGTCCCCGTGTTTCTACCATTAGGAGAAGTCTCAGGTTTGCCTGAGAGAGATAAAGATGATGCATTGTAGTGTTGTTGTTGTTGTGCAGCCGCAGCTTGTTGATAATGTACCGCTGCTGCAGCCAACGAGCAACTTGGTGATTGAGAATAAGCAGGTGACGCAGCATTACCAAGCGAATACGGCATGCCAATCATATTTTCGTAACCCGTGCGACCGTATAACGAATAAGAATCAAAGTAAGGTGAAGTTGAAACAGAATTAATAGGTTGTTGCCAGCCACTTCCCATTGGCTGATAAATATTTTGCGTTTTTATTGGATCTAAAAACGTGCCAGGGGACATACCTAGGCCGTTTTTCTTTGGCAAGTTCTTAGTCTTCCGCCTTGGACGGTATTTATAATCTGGATGCTCCTTCATGTGAATAGCTCGAAGGCGTTTTGCTTCATCGATGAATGGTCGCTTCTCCGATTCATTAAGTAACTTCCACTCCTGTCCCAAACGCTTTGATATTTCAGAATTATGCATTTTTGGATTTTCTTGAGCCATTTTACGACGCTGGCCTCTGGACCAAACCATAAATGCATTCATTGGACGTTTCACACGATCATCACTTGCTGCAGTTTACAAGAAAGTTGAACGAATTTTACGATAGTTGAAACTGATTGAAATTTGCCAATCAGTTTTAATGCTTCATAACCACTTTAATGCTGTTTAACTTTCTGCTTGAAATTAACAAATGAGAAAACCAAAAATTCATCCCCCAATGAAATTCCTATTTTTAATTCTTAGAAATGTAAAGCAAAGAGTTTTATTTCCCAATTTAATCCAGCAAAGTTTCGTGAAAATTGCGCTTTTAAAAGTATTTCAAAGTATTACTTTTTAAATTAACAAGTCACTGCGTGATGTGAATTCGCCCAAATTTGTGTGACAAAAAAACCCATTCAATATTGATGATTTTTGTTTTGTGAAAGTGAGTTTTGTTAGTACTGACCTTTTTTATCTTTCAAACTTGGTGATCCTGGTGAATTTGGATCACAGCAGTCTTCGATTGTTGGTATTGAGGAAGTGGATGTTGGCGGCATTGAGAAACTTGGTGGCATTGCACTATAGAGTGAAAAGGCATCCTGCAGAGCTGCTGCTGCAGATACGCTATTAGCCGCTGCAGCCGTTGTGGCAACAGCACTTCCGGGTGCGGCTTTCAGCTCATTTTCCATCATCATCATCATCATTGAAAGCCCTAAAAAGCAAACGTCTCACCGAAAGGTAACAGCGGTATCTCTGGTAGTTGCTCTCTAGAATACGAAACAGAGCGGAGAAATACAAAGCAAAGCAAAAAATATGAGAAATTAATTAGGAATGGGAAGATATGAAACAAAATGAATGCTGCATTCTCTATTTTTTTCCCAACCTTAAATAACTAAATGAAAAGGAAACATTATTACTAGTTTTAAAATTTAAAGACGCACAAGAATTTGGGTAATAACGCGTAGTTAAGTTAATTATGAGGAAGAATCATTAATTTTTACGTTTCACATATCACTTTGCGCTTTTTTTTACGTAACAGGGCTTTCTTCATGTTTTGGAGCAGCAAAAAGGCAAATTGAGAGGCTAATTGCAGAAAAAAAGAAAAAAGGATTTGATGTAAAAATATATTTCTATTCACATACAAACAAAAATCAGAACTCATTTTATTTTTTGATTAGACTAAAATCAACAACAACAACTATTACTTCGTTATTGTATTTAATATTATTGGTATTATCATAACAACTAATATCAACAATTATAAATAGTTAGTGATAATAACAATAATAAAGAAATACATGCAATATCCTCTTATTTTTCCCCTTCATAATGACCATTATAAATCTTTTCTTCTTCTATTCATGCTGCTTTATAAATGATTTGAATTGAATGGAATTGAAGTGAAGCGAATTGAATACAATAGCATTGAATAGAATGAATGAAAATAGTAAAAAAAGACTCAGTTGACTTTGGAGAATTTCACGTAAAAACCACTATTTTACACCATAAATGCACACTAAGATTCGCGCCTTGCATGTACGTGTATGTACGTGTCAAGATACGTATTAATATGTATGTGTGTGCACGCCGAGCGTGAAGACCGATTACGATGAATGAATAAAAGAAAGACGTCGTCGCCCTCATCATCGTCCTTGCAAGCGGTGGGCGAAACAAGTAAGACAAGAAATGAAGGCGTGGCTAACAAAGAGAATTAGGAAAATAGACAAAATGGAGTTAGTGCGATAATGTAGGAGAGGAAAAGATTAAAAAAATAAAAGCATTTACTCCCTCTGGCACGCTTATTTCTTTTTCTATCTTCAAATACCATGATCTTTCTCCTCTCACTTAGCTTAACCTTCAGCATATAAATACTTTAAAACACGAACAACTAGTGTAAGAATTTTATATTTCACTTCTAGAAGAAAATCATCGACAAAGGTTATTATTTCTTGGGACGGTAGAGAAAAAAGCATGAAGAAACAACCTGTCACCAGAGAAAAAGAGATAAATAGGCGTGAAAGTAGGCTGAGACTGAACATTGAGCTGATTGGCTGTTAAAGATACCACTGCTGCTGTTGCTATTGGCAGTTAGGTTGATGGTAGTTTGCATCGGTAAAAATTCAACTTATCACTGCAATTCTCCTGCTGCCACTGCAATCGTACTTAAAATCTACGATCATTTTACTTATTGTGAGTATATTAAAATAAGTAAAATTTTATGAAGGCAAGATCCGTGGTTAAATTTGAAAGCATTAAGTTACTCTAAGAATAATAATTATTTAAGGTTACTGAGGAGGTTGAGAGAAAGTTATGCAAATGAGTGATTAAACCAGAGTTAAGATGGCATGATCAGTTTGGCTACATGTCATCAACCAGGTCACTTATTTGCATCACTTCTTATGCATTATCTGTGGCAAAGAGGAAAGAGGCGGATGAGTGTGAGCATTTTTGGGTTACGGTAGGTGCAGTAGATGAGTTTCTGGAAGATTGCTTGCTGTTGTCAACTTTCCTCGCATTAATATTCAATCAGAACGGCTACAGCCATAGAAGGAAAAAATTTTCTAAAAAAACAAAAAGTTTACTCACCAAAAGTTTACACTTGCTTGTGATGACAATTTTTACTTTCAACTTACCAAAAGTTGATTTTATCATGATAGTTTCCCCCAAAACTCGAAACTTGAATCACTTATCCTTCAATTTCATTGTTTTCATTCATTTCAGCCAAATCTTACTGAAATACAGAAAGTTACTCTTCACGGAAGTAATTTTCACATCTAAATGTTCTATTATAGAACAGAAAAATTGAGTCGTATTCACTAGAATCAGATATCGAAAATTCATCGAAATAGTCTTAATATATTTGTTCAGTCTTATCTATTATTAAGACACTTATTTGTATTTCCAAATAAGTCTTCACTTGCTGTCAACAATGAGCTGAACTCACTTTTTTGCGAGATGGAACTTCAGAAAAGCTTTTGCTCTCTTATCGATTCTAACTTTGAATTATTAAAATTCTGAACTGCTCTCTGCGTGAAAAAAACTTAGTCTTCATTTTGACTAGTGTAGAATTTGTTATTTCACTCTCATTGGGAGAGTTTAGATGGACTCTGTGCATACATCTTTATGTCTCAGTTTTAGTTACGAAAAGAACTGCCAGAAATTGTGATAGAAATAAAGATAATATGATAAAATACATTTAGAAATTACATAAATTGTTAGTAATTGGTTATTAAATTCTACTTTTGTCACTTTAACTTTGATGATTTATGAAGCAAAAACTGTCTCTTCTAAATAAACAAATATAACTTCTTATAAATGAATAGTGAAATAAAAATGGCAAAGTTGAAAGCTTGAATAAATAAACCTTTCTTTTCGGCTAGCGAAAAGTTGATAAAATATCATTTTATGCAAAAAATAATAATAATAGTTTAAAGATTATTTATTATATCACGAAAAATGAAAGACCGCCTGATTTTTAATAATAATAATGCTGCATCTTTTTCATCAAACAAAAAATAAAGCTTGAATTTGCTTTGATGAATAGCTAAAAGCGGTCTGCGACTTGATCATGTCGCAGCACCGTAAATATTTTACATATCAATTGAGCATCAATCAAAATTGATATGCTTTGCTTGAGAATCGTAATAAAGTATTGCAAAGAAACGATTACCTTGCAAGACAATAGGTTTTTTCTTGAATGTTAGGTAAACTAGTTAGTTAGTTTTGCTCATTATTTTCTAATTAAAAAATCATTTGAATGTTTTTAGCAATTATAAAAAGAAGTAATCTGAATTGGTGAAATTAAGCGTTAATAATACTGCAAACTTTTCTTGTTTGCTAGAAAAGTTCCCAGGAAAAGCATTTGATTAATTTGTTTATTCTCACGTTACTCAATTAATTACTTAAGCTTTTTCTTTCCTTATCAAAAGCTGCCATTTTCTAAGACTGAACTTCAGCTTCTCAAACAAACTAAATCGACATGCAAATTAGAATTACAATATTTAAATTTTATTTCAGTAAAGTGTTTATGTTCCTACCAATTATAATTTTTTATTACAAATATTTTTGTCTTACTCAATTAACTTCTCTTCATGGATCTGCTCAGAGTGTGAGTAATGTGCAATGTTTATCGCATTTGCCAAAGGTTAAGGGTCAAAAAGTTGTAATTTGATTGATAGGTAGGCAGCAGGTATCATTTCTGAACCCAAACGAAGTCATATTGGCGTCTCAGGTCATGAGAAAAAAATATTTTATGACATCATTGAATGTTTTTGCTTTTCTCACTACTACAAAAAATTAATTCCATTACTTTCTTATAACATTTAAATTTGTTGAAAAAGTCTGAAACGAAAGTAATCAAATACTAAAGTTCACGCATAGACAATTTTACTAACACTCACTGTAATTAGCTTTTATTGGAACAGTAAATTTGACAATACTTATCGCAAGAATCTTTACTGCGACAATGACACAACTTCAACTTCCTGCATTACGTCTCAATCTTTGGTGACCTTATCAGTCAGTGATCTAACTCTAATTTGGCATTAAAACTAACATTCTCACTACATCAAAACATATTATTGATATTTTTATACAAAAATTTTTTGCATTAAAAAAACTGAAAAAAAATACGTCAAAAACTGAAATAAATAAAATGACCTAATGACCTTTTTTTAAAAAGCAAAAAAAATCAGTAAAGAGAAAATCACTTCACAAAATTAGTTTATTGACGTAGTGAGAATGATACTATTAGTAATTACTTTATGTTACATTCACTCAGGTGTAGACAGAAGTCATCTTATATTCACAACAGTGTAAAACAAATATTTGCATAGTAAAGTAAAAGTGTAGCTCAAGAATAATGAGAAGAATAAAGAACATAAACAATAACATATTTACCCAGATAAAATCAATAATTATGCGATCACGATCAGTTTAAAACTAAATTTTAGTACATTTTGGAACAGTTAGTAATTGGATTAGATATGCTAGATAGTTTGATAAGTCAAAATAATGTTTAATATAAAATAAATGCTATTGGAACTTGTAATAATTACTGCAGATTAGACTACAAAAACGTATTATTAATATTTTGTACAAATATTTTGTTCAAAAAAGACTAGGAAAATGAAGTAGATATAAGTCACATTGGAATTATTTTTTTTTAAACAAACAAAACATATTTTTAGTCATTTTTAATCTAATTCGTTTGACGTAAACTAAATTTGTGAGAGACTTGAATTTTGAGGTATAAAATTTTTTGAGAGAATTCGTAAAACTGAAAAATTTCTTCAAAAACCCTGCAAATTGTTTAGTTTTAAGAAAACAAGCTACCGAAATGTATCTTTGAGAAGCAATTTTAACCTTAATATTTTATCACTGACCATTCAGATTCAGATCATTCATCAGATCATGAATCATTTGATATCAGTACTTTTACTTTAATTTTATTCGCTCTTTCTGATATAATCAAAGGTTGGAAATTTTGAAGCTATAAAACTGACAATTTCGTTTATTTAACTTGTTGATATCAAAATTTTATGGTTTCTAACTTGAAAGAAATTTGTCAGGCAAAAATTTTGGTGGAAGAAATTTTTGTTTGTCATCAAATTGTCCAAAATTTATTACTAATACTAAAAAAAATATTTTTTTGACAAACTATGACAACATATTAGAGGCGTAAGTTGGATTTTCTTACTTGCAT